CCCCTCCGACGGCATTCGTCCCTATCCGCGATCTATACGTGATCACAAGATTAATCCTTAACTGTGCAAACCCGATTTTGGGGGAGTATCAAACCGCTATCCTCAAAAGCACAATTCCGCTCCCAAGCCACTGTAACAGATCTATTCTCGATTTCATTTAAAAGTTATGCACGACGTTGAATTATTCCTCGTAGGCGAGATGAGAATTTGGATTGGCTCGAAATACTTTATCCCACATAGAGAGAAGGATTTCTTTTGATTTAATAAAATTTGAATTAACAAAATCTTTTAATTTAATAACACAACATAGTTTACTCTACACGGAGAAAAGATTGTGATAAAAATTACCACAGACTTTTTTAATGTCGGGCCATATCGGAATTACGAAATTATTATGTGTGCTGTAATCTTTAATGATGTGTATAATGAGGTAACATCACTGAAGATTACGCTCACATAATAATTTCAGTCATAATTCCGATATGGTTCAGCATTACAAAATTTTGCGATAATTTTCACAATTTTACAATATATTCCCCGTGTAGCGAAATAACATTTCCATATATAAATAAAATGATATTCGATATTAAATTCTGTTGTTTATATTGATTACAAATCCAAGCAAACACGTATGCGTACGTAATGCGTACACGTAAATCCAAAGAAATCCTCTCTGCGCATGTCACACTTCACGTTCTTTTACTTGTTTCACATTTTAGTGTGTTCGTCGTGTGTATTATCACGAAAATGTTCAGGTTATTTTCGAAGCACGGCCCACGAAACGCGGAACGCCCGTAAATTAACGGTCCAAGCGGTGAATTTCGTAAGATCCTCGGGGCGGCCCACGGCACACACACACACACACACCTCCGGTTACATCAATAGCGATGGCTTCCCAGATATCGTATCGCGACGTTTTGAGGAACGTGTATTGTACACGCGTGTCTCGCCGTTGCGCGCACCGTCGTTCGTATTGTACGCAATGCCAAGACGCGGGCGCATCTTTCTCCGCTTGTCCCGTATCTGAGGTATTTTCGATTAGCGATATCGCGTACAAGAATCTAGACGCTATTACAAAGCACCCCGGGACAATACAAATGCGACGGAGAGGCCGGTGGCCTTCGTGTGTGTGTGTGTGTGTGTATGTGTGTTATTTGTGCGCGAGTGTCAATGCGAATGGTATATATTCGGGTAAGAGACGAGAACGTATCTCTCGGCGCGCGCGGAAGTTTAGATACACCGCTACACACGACGTCGCAGTCAACTCCAAATTTCATGGATCCTGTTCTAGTCTAATGGTTACGGATTGGGTTTACGACGGGCGGCTCAGATCGACGGCCAGATAGGGTTAGCGGGCGTCACACGGCGCGCACGGCTAGACGAAAACGCCGACTTCGTGTAATGTAATTAGCCGTGATGGCAAGCTGCGTGGATTCGCGTTCGATCTATTCGACCATCTCATTCGACCCACTCGATCAACGGTGTTTATCGAGGCGCGCGTATTTTATTCCGCGCTTGCGATTCTACAGAGCACGATCCGCACAGATGAGACGGTTGTCTAACGTTTCACTCGGCGCGATTAAATTCGACCAAGGCTGGCTGTAACCTCGCGTGACTTCGCGTGACTTCGGCAACCTGCTTAGAAGCGAGAGCCCGAAGTGATAGGCAAAGTGGAGAGCGCATAAATAGATAATGGGACCTAAATGAAGTGGAGAATATTTCACACTAGTTGAATCCACGAGGGATGCGCCGCCGCGGTCTAATGGCTCCCGGTCATGTTTACGATCCGGCCGCGATTCGAGAATTCCCGTTTCTCGAGGACCGCGCGCGACCGCGCCCGCCCGGGCCGACTCTTTTATAAAACTTAATTTTCCGGATAATTTTACCATTTGTTACCGCCTCTCCTCTTACACATTACAGTCATAATTTAGAGTCGTCGCGCAGTCGGGCGTTAATGGAAATTTTAGGTACCGGCTCCTCTCTATCTTCCACGCTTCCTCCCCCCCCTCCCCTCCCCCCTCCGTCGCAGATTTAAGAGGAACGTTTAACGTTTTACACGGTCTGAAACTTCGGCAAGGCGCATTAAAAGCGTGCCAAAAAGTACGTAAATATCCAGTCGGAATTTACATAATTTATTTCTACGCCCAGCCTGGCACAGAACAAAGGGGCGAAGCGGGAGCGGGAAGTGGCTCGCGTTCCGTTTTATTTCGCCGTAACAAGTGGTAAAAATAGGTTTCCCAGGCGCTTGTTGTTGTACAACGACAACGCGCTCTCTTTCTGGAAAACCGCCCGTTACTTACTACGAGGAATATTGAGAAAGGCTGTATATACTTAGTGCCGTCAGGAAGCGTCGTTTGCTTTGCCGGAATAAGCAAACAAGCAGTACTCAGACCGGCGTCTGCCGTAACAATCTCAAAATAGCCCCCCGGTAATAGGAAGACGGCGATGTTGCAGCGCGCAGGTGGATCTCTCTCGAAAAATGCCGGGGAAAGTTACGCGGCTCGTCGCTGTGTGGGACAGTGTCGCCGTGAAAAGATCGGAATCGGCAGCAAAATCGGAGCTCGTTTGCATCGTTCGAGCGCATCTGCGCCGCGAAGACCGCTGTGAATTCAGCTACGCTTTCGAGAGCGAAACCCCCCCCCCCC